AGTGTTGTTTATTTGTATCTCAGATGATTAGTGACTTTGAGCATGTTTTCATATGTCTCTCGGCGTTCTGTATGTCCTCTTTCAAAAGTGTCTACTTAGTCCTCGGCCCATTTTTTTTTATTGCATTGTTTATCTTCTTGTGTTAAGTTGCATGAGTTCCCTGCAAATTTTGGAGATTTGAAATAGCATTGGCAAATATGTTCTCCCATGCAGTGGGCTTTCTTGTTGTTTTGTTGATGGTTTCTTTTGTTGTGCAGAAGCTTTTTATTTTAATGTAGTCCCATTTGTTTATTTTCTCCTTAGTTTCTATTGCCCTAGGAGCTGTATCGGTAAAGATATTGTTTCAATATATGTCTGATATTTTGCTGCCTATGGAGTCTTCTAAGGTTTTTATGGTTTCCTATCTTACATTTAAGTCCTTTAACCATTTAAAGTTTGTTTTTGTGTTTGGTGTAAGTTGGTGATCTAGTTTCATTTTTTTGCACATATCTGACCAAATTTCCCTGCACCATTTATTGAAGAGAGTGTCTTGATTCCATTGTATGCTCTTGCCTCCTTTGTCCAATATTGATTGGACATAGTGCCTTGGGTCTATTTCTGGGTTCTCTGTTCTGTTCCATTGCTCTATATGTCTGTTCTTGTGCCAGTACCAGGAAGTTTTGAGAACCGTGGCTTTGTAATATAGCTTGATATCTGGTATTGTGATCCTTCCAACTTTGGTCTTCTTTCTCAGAATTGCTGTGGCTTTTTGGGGTCTTTTTTTATTCCAGATGAATTTTTGGAGAGTTTGTTCTAGGTCTTTGAAATATGCTCTTGGTACTTTAATGGGGATTACATTAAATCTATAAATTGCTTTGGGTAGTATGGAAATTTTAATGATGTTGATTCTACTAATCCATGAACACGGTACATTCTTCCATTTGTTTAGAATGGTTTTTTTTAACTCTGGAATTTATGGTTAGCTCTTATTACATTTGGTAACATTTGAATATGTTTTTCTATAAAAAATTTGACAAAATACTGTCAATAAAAACTCATTGATGATTGACTTTATATCTTGATTTTAAAAAGTCAGAATTACACTACAGTGACTACTTTTTCATATATTCCCCAGTTTATTACCTAGATGTTCTGAAATAGTTTTTCTTTGTAAATGAACTAATACCATATGTTGGGTTCATGTGCTTCATATCTCAATGATCCTTAAAGAGTGAGGGCAAATGGGCCACTCCTCTCATTCTAGCATGAACAGACAGAGGCTTTGAGTGACTACTGAAACCTGGAGGAGCTAGAATGCAGACTTGGTCTGTTAGGGCTCTTTGCACACATCTGTACATAAACCTATAATCTCCATTTATAAAAGAAGTAATCTGTAACACATACAAAGAACATATAAAACAGGACATGTAGAAGAAAATAGAAAAAGAACAATAAGGAATAAATAATAAACAACACAAAAAGAAATCATTTATATAATGAACAAACAAACAAATACTGATAGATCAGAACTTTGGACCCAGAAACTTCATGGCATGAGAACCACTGGGGGTATATAATGAATATCTATTTCATCTATATATATAAAGGCCCAGTGAACAAATGGTAGAACGACTAGAACAACCAGTTGACCAGTCACTATGATGTGCACTGACCACCAGGGGGCAGGCACTCAAAGCAGGAGCTTCCCCCTGGTGGTCAGTGTGCCCCCACAGTGGGAGCATCCACTCAGAGGGTGGGTCCACAGCCACTTGGCTGACCAGGATAAGTGGCACTCCCACAGCAGGCTAATCCCCACAGGCCATGGCCCCCACCAGTGCACAAATCCATGCACCGGGCCTCTAGTAGGATTATAAGATTCAAACCTGTGATTTTTTATAAATAAGACTAGTGGCCCGGTGCACAAAATTCGTGCACATTAAAAGGGATTAATTAGAGGAAATATTTTAATACTAGTAGCCTGATGCATGAAATTCGTGCATGGGGGAGGGGGATCCCTCAGCCCGGTCTGCAACGATGCCAGCATCCCTCTGGCCCAAGGCCCCTGCCCTCCCTTCCCTCCACGCGTCCGGGGTGCAGACTCCAGTCCGAGGCCCTGCCCCTCTCCTCCCTCCACCCAGCCGGGGCGCAGACTCTGGCCGAGGCCCCTTCCCTCCCCTCTCTTTACCCGGCGAAGCACAAATGTTCAGCTTTAGAAGTTATTTACTTACTGATAGTTAGTAAATAACTTATAAAGCTGAACACATTGCTGCAAGCTCAGCATTCCTCACCAGGGACTCCAGCCCCAGGCCCCTCCCCTCCCCTCCTTTGGTGCAGACTCTGGGCTGGTGTCACAGTGAACTGGCATCCCTCGCCATGGACTCTGGCCCAAGGACCCTGCCCTCCCCTCCTTCGGCTCGGACTCTGGGCTGGTGTTGCAGTGAGCCCGGCATCCCTCACCGTGGACTCTGGCCCCAGGGCCCTCCCCTCCCATCCCCTCCTTCAGCGTGGACTCTGGGCTGGCATCGCAGTGAGCCTGGAATCCCTTGCCATGGACTCCGGCCCAAAGACCCTGCCCTCCCCTTCCTCCCCCCGGTCGGGGTGTGGACGCTGGGCATCCCTGGAGGCAGACTCTGTGAGCCCAGTGTTCCTTGTCATGGACTCTGGCCTGAGGACCCTCCCCTCCCTTCCTTTGGCACGGACTCCAGCCCGAGGCCCCTGCTCTCCCCTCCCTCTGCCTGGCCGGGGCGCAGACTCTGGGCATTCCTTGAAGCAGATTCTGGCTGGAGGCCCCTCCCCTCTCATCCCTCCATGCAGCCGGGCCAGACGCTGGGCTCGTGTTGCCAGGGCAATGCCGCCAGCATCCCGCCCCGGCCGCTGTAGGTGTTGCCATCTTTGTCGCGGAGTGATGGTTAACAAAAGTCCTGGGAGCCTATGGGCATGACTATGGCCTTGCCTCCTGGGGCTGGCGAAAGTCTTGGGAGCCCGTGGCCACGGCTGCCATCACCTCCTGGGGCACTTGACACCTGCGTATGCAAATTAACCTCCATCTTTGTCGGATAATTTGCATAGTCACTCGGATTGGCTGGTGGGTGTGGGTTGTGGTTGTGACTTGTGGGCGTGGCTTCAGCATAGTGGAGGGACAGCTAATTTGCATGTTTCTCTTTTAATATATAGGATTGCTATTTGCCCTTTCTCTATAATAGAAGTACCAGAGATGAAAGAAAATTAGTAAAATGTATATGAAAATCTTCCTCCTGTCAGTGTCTGGGGCACACCGCAGGACCCAGAGTTAAGTCCCCACCCACCCGAGATACCTCAAAATCACGCAAGACCCAGACCCAGCTGGCCCCACCCCTATTGGGTGAGATACTAACCCAGCCAGCCCCACCCTTGTCAAGCTCCGCCAGGCAGAGGGCATAGCCTCAGGTCCCCTGGCCCGGTGCTGGGTGGGGGATGAGGCCTGAGGTCCCCAGTCAAGCCCTGCCAGGCAGGGGGCACAGCCTGAGGTCCCCCAGCCTGGCGCCGGGGCAGGGGGCATGGCCTCAGGTTCCCCGGCCTGGCTCCAGGGTGGGGGGCATGGCCTGAGGTCTCCTGCCCTGGCCCAGGGCCACACAGCCTTAGGTCCCTGCTGATCGCTCCTTAAAGCTCGTTATGGGAACTCGGCCTCCACTGTGGGTGCAGCCATCTTTGTGACAGCATGACAGTCAATTTGCACATTCCCTCTTTATTAGATAGAATTGTGTAGAATAAGGCCATATTTATTTGAGTAAATAATGAATCAATTTAAAGACAATTATTATTGAGACAATAATAATGTACCGGTAGCATGCAAATATGAGAAAAAGTATGAAAGTGATATGCAAATGACTGACATTTGGCAAACCTTTGCGGAAACAGGAAAATGTGACAAAGCTCTTCCCCCATCCCAGGCTCAGAGCCCACACCTAAACACTAAACCTGAACACTTATAGAATCGAGGCAGGCTAGAAGAGGACCATCAGGGATTATACAGGAAGGTCTAACCCATTAGAGAACTGGACAGGAATATTGTTCTGATAATTATAGATACTGCTTCTTTTTATCTTACAAGTACACATGGAAAAGAAGAAGAAGGAATTGCCTTCTCTTGGATTGATAAATGGTGATATTAAAGTAGAAATATAGTCCCTAGCTAAGTAATTGAAAATATAACTGAGGTGTGCCTTTGGCATCAATGATCTCAAAGGAGTAGGGATGCTCTTGTATCTTTGCATCTGGGCAGAGAAGCTAGAAGCAGTTTG